CTAGTGCCTCGTACCGCTACATTTGGTTAAGTTAAACAACAACTATTTAGAAGATCCTGTAAGGTCTTAACAAAGTTCAGGTGACAGTGTCCATAAACTGTGGAGCTCAGTGCCTCTGGATATTAGACTTGCAAGTTCTCTCTGCATTAAAAAACAAACAGACAAACAGAAAAAGTAATTAAAGAGCTAGCTTTTTAATCTGGCTTTTAATTTGGAGTAATTCTATAAACCCTGGTGTTTTCTTTTTCTATTGACTTTGACATGGTTTTTATTCTTTTTTTTTACCTTGCATAATTGTATTTGTATAAATTAAAACTTTTTTATAACAATATGAAAAGATACAAACACACTCGGCCACAGTAACATCACTGTGGCTGCCTCTTTGCTTCAGTCCGATGTCTCTGCTCTCAATGGTCTATAAGACACATTTCCTGCAAGGATATACAAATAAAAAAACATAAACTGCAAAAGATGTTCATGTCAACAAGTTATTTGACCTCTTACCTTTATTAATATTTAGTATTACTCACAAAATATAATCAATAATTTACTCATAGACTAATTTGTATACGTAACATAACATCCAGGAAGCTGACAAAGCATGTGTCTTTATAAGGCTTCTCAATTTATGTAACATGTTCAGACCTCATGTCCAACTGAAACATAAATCAGCTGTATCAGGTAAACCTAAAAGTAACTATGTTCAACTTGTTTAGACCTCCAAACAGCCGTTGATGGCGTGTCTAAAGCAAATTTTTCCTACTGTACTGGACTCTGCTGTGGTTCCAGTCTTGCAAGTTACTCCTTCATTGCTAAGCAATGCCATTAATACAGTGATTAAAACAGATGCTATATCAGCCATAGCCTTACCTGCAGTATAGTAGACTGAAGAATAGACTTCTGGTAAAAATGTCTTTATTCTTGCTTTGGACAGTTTTGATTCTGTTTTGGAAACAAAGGGGATTATATCAAAATACAGGAAGAAAGATGAAAATGAACAGATGCCACTGATTCTTTTTCTGTCAAATCAACAATATTATTAATACCGCTAACAGCATCACGTTGGTTGCTGACCACAATGAGTATACTTAGGCAACTGTTCATAGAAACTGCATCTTCAGACGTGTGAACAGATCAGATAGAACAATGTGGTTTAATTGTTAACTCTTTTAACCTGCTCACCTTTTAAAAAACACACCTGCAGTATAGTAGACTGAATAATAGACTTCTGGTAGAAATGGCTTTATTCTTGCTTTGGACAGTTCTGATTCTGTTTTGGAAACAAAGAAAATTATATCTATATAAGGACATCACTTATTAGAACTTGCACTGCAATCTCTCTGTAGGTCATGTTTAAGTTCAGTCAGGTTTTCTTCATTATAAACTATGGAAACTTTGACTTTGTTGGATCTTTGTGTATTGTTCAAACCTCAGTTAAACCAGGTTTAACCTCAGATACCTTAGAATACAGTTACCTCTGGCGGTGCTTCCTTCGGTTTTGTCCACTTTATCTTTGTGTTTCCTGCAGTGGATTACTCCCAACACCAACAGCAGCAGGGGCAGCAGTAAAAGCATGATGAGGAGATTAAGGGAGTGACTATGGGAAGGATGAGTCTCTTCAAAAAGTCCTGAAAAGACAAAGCAAATATTTACTTTACCTTTTTAACACTGTGTTAACCCTAACCTATTTTTTGCAACTCTTAATACATAATATCCACCCAATGATCTCAACATACCTTTACAGGTTTTGAAACACTGTTGACCTCTGACAAGCAGTCGGCTCTCTGGTGATTGTCCAGCTCCAATGATGTTACACTTGTAGAGTCCTTCGTCTGATGTGGAAACATTGTAGAGGGTCATGCTTCCTTTATAGCCAGTCTTGATGTGGAGGCCATCTTTATAGAAATCAGCTATGAGGTCAGAGGAACTTTTCTTCTTTTTGCAGTGCAGAGTCACATTGTCTCCCTCCTCCACAGGCAGGACAGGGCTCTCCAAGATTACTGAACCAGCTGAA